TCATAAGACTACAAAATGACTACTAAGTGGTCATTTTGACTTCAGGCTATGTGACATAGTCTACAAAAATTACAATGTCAGTTTTTTTCAATTACCAAATTTGCCAAGGAGAGGAAGAGACATCTTCATAGTTTTCAATACTTGTTTCCTACTTCCCTGAATCCCTCATGGCTCGCATGGAATTCAGAAAGGAAATGTTAATGAATTTCTCTCATTTGAATAATACTTAGGAGGCAAAAACAAGTTAAACAAAAAAGTTATTTTAAAGTTTGGCACAGCTGCTCTAAAGTATTACACCAAAACAGCTCCAATTATAAAGGGAAGACATTAAATAACAAAGGGCCTAGCTTTGCATTTATAACAGGATTATTTATAGATGTGGGGGTGGGAATGAGAGGAAATGATCTGAGCAGGAATTTTTCCCACTACCCTTGACCTAAAGGATGAGCATCTACACTTGAGAATCAGGCTGCCCTAAGGAAAGATTCGCCTTTCTGGAGCTGATGACACATGACGTCTGATTTTGTGCACAGGAGATCTTTTCTATTTACAGAAGTATATAATAAGGTGCTTTTTCTTAAGATTATCTTATATTCTGAAGGCTTTTTAAATTCAATGATTAAAGAATATCTAAAAATACATTTTTAAATTATTTATATTACCTTTTAGTTGTCTTATATCACTATCCCCTCAGCTAAAAACACACTTTAAAAATAAAGAGTTGAATGGCTAAGATACCTCACAAATAGTTTTCTTAGTTCCAAGTTCATAATTAGGAATTTCTATGCAGGGCGGTCTTAAAATCCCTAGAATCCCTTTGTTTCAGAAGTTGCAGAGAACAGATTTGACTCTCACCTGTTTTCACAGAGTAGCTAGAAGAGAGCTTAGACCACGAGGCCTGTGCATTGAATCAGATATATTTCAAAGGCCAACCCTGAGACTGGGATTGGGCAATAATCCTGATCCAGACATGAGAAGGCTTGAGTGACTTCCACACAAGACTCCATTACAGTGAACAAAAGCCTCCCCTTTGTCCATGTCATTCATCATAGACCTGAAACTTGTTTACCAAACAGAATGAACTTCCTTCCCTAAATATACTGCATGTAAACAGATGTTCTCCCTCTCCCACTCACCCCTAATTAGAGGCTTAGGAGTTCAGGCCTCAAGCAACATCTTTGGACATAAACAACAGGATTACAAGGAACTCCCTAGAATAACAATGTCAAATAGTACCAACAATCGTTGGTTGTTTTTGTATACAAGGTCTATCCAGAAAAAGTCCAGCCATTGTTAATAAAACAAGAGTGGTTCACTAGACATCTGTATAACCTGGCAGCCAAGGAGAGTGTCCTGGAATGCGCATGTCTAAACAGTGACAACTTCACTGTACTAGTCAGTGGTGAAGGTAGGTGTACTGTGTGGCCATGTCATTCAAAATGACTGAGCAAGTAGAGCAGCAAACCTGCATCAGATTTTGCATTAAGTTTGAACATTCCTCCACAGGAGCTATTTGGATAATTCAGAAGCCCGCAGCTGTGGGCAACTGGGGATTAGTAGCTTTATCAGGACAACGTGCCTGCTCACCCATCACAGCTCATGCAGCTTTTTGGTGAAACATCAAATCATCCAGGTGACTCAGCCCCCTTACAACTCAGATTTGGGCCCTGACACTTCTGGCTTTTCCCAAAACTAAAATCACCCTTGAAAGAGAAGAGATTTCAGAATGACAATGACTCATGAAAATACATCAGGGCAGCTGATGGCAATTGAGAGAACTGTGTGAAGTCACAAGGCGCCTACTATGAAGGGGACTATATACAATGTTTCTTGTACCTTATATCTTCTTCAATAATGTCTCTATTTTTCATATCATATGGCTGGATACCTTCTGGACAGACTTTGTAGTACGTGGTAACACAGACCGAGAGTCACTGGACGCGTGGTCTTGTATCTTAGTCACCTCTTTGTCCACTATGTCTAATACAGTGCCTGGCACAAAGTAGATGCTTAGTAAGTAGTTGCTAAGTAAATTCCTAAGCTAATACTTTGTTTTTATCTTTTATTTAATTCAGTGGAAAATTATTATTTGATCTCCTATTTACTGGATACTGTACAAAGCTGTGAGTGGACAAACATGAATCCTTCCTCAAACCTTATAGTTCAAATGAAATCAGTGAAGTAACTTACACTGCTTATTGACACCACTATTGTAACACTAGGGATGAGCAGCACTACTGCTGAGCCACTATTTCCTCATGTACAATTGGAATGGTTGAACAAAGTTACCCATTCTATACAATTATTTGTTATAAAATTATTGTAAAGGGCATGAAACATACAAAGCATCACATAAATTAAATTTTAAGATTATAAAATTAATTTTTATAATTTAAATACTGCCCAAAATACAAGTTCTCCCAGACCAAAAGTAATTCAGTCTCTCAAGTGCATACAATCACATCATTATATAAACCACATAAAGAATTTAGCAGTTCTAGCATTGTTGTATTTTAATCTAGCTCTCTAGTGTAAAATGTAACTTTGAGGTTTGTAAGTTTGAGGTTTGTAATTCTGTATTCTCTGAGAATGCAATATTTTATGTCTGGTGTCCCCTATAGGATCTAGCACTTTTCAAAAAAAATCGCATTTAATAAATTAATTAATGTAATTCAAACAACTTATGAATAGTGAAGGATTCTAACCTGAAAGGCATTTAGGAGATTCAAGAACCCCAAGAAATTACAGGCAAAACTGTGTGTCTGAAGGCTACTTCATAGAATTCTTTGTTTTTATCAGAGTCTCAAAGAGTTGTATTATCCAAAATAGGTAATACACTCAGGTTGTAATAATTAAACATCAACTACTTGTCAGGCATTGCACCAGAGTTCCAGCCTAGAATCTAAAAGATCTTTATAAATAATGAATATTGATTGAATCAAATTTTTACAGGATCTTCTTTCTCAAATTCATGCCATTTAAATGAATGCATACTCTCTTGAACATATTTACATCTCAAATCAGTACCAAATACTGTGCAGTAATTTAACATATTTGCTGGAAAAATATACTTTAGAAATATATTCTCACTTGGTTTCACGGAAAAGCTTTCATGATGACAGAACTGGCAGGACTTGGGTAAATAATATAAGAAGGCGGACCTCAAGAAAACCTGAATTATCTTCTGGAGGCAGGCCCCTTGTGAGTGTTCTAGAAACCCACCTGCATCAGTGTACCAGCTGGTGTTATTGTGAGAGGCTGCATTCAGCTTCAGTGAATTTTTTTTAAGACAACACATTTGTCCATTTCACGATAGGTGATTTACGAGCGCACCTGCTCTCACCGCCCGGAGTGCTCAGCAATGTTTGACCAAAAACAGCATGACCCCCATGCCCACTCTCCCTATTCACCTGACCTCATCCCAAGTGACTTTCTTTTGTTTCCCCAGAAGAAAAAAGTTCTCAAAAGGAAATGTTTTACCGATGTGGAAGAGGTGAAACAAAAAATGGTAGAAACACTGAAAGGCATCAAAATCAACAAGTTCAAAAACTGTTTCAAGTGGAAAAGACAGCTCGAGAGGTGTACTGCACCAAATGGAGAGTACTTGAAGGTGACTGAAGTTTAAACATGTAATAACAAGTACATGTTTTTTAATAAATAAATTCCATTTTTTTTCTGCACCCCCCTCATGTGTGTGCATGTGAGTACACACACATACATACACATATACGTATAATGTAAGAAATCTCTAGTTAGTCATGCTGCTCACACTGTTTAAACCAACTCTAATTCATCAACTATCACACACCACAGCTGGGTTTCTATTTATTCCTAACAATAGCAATAAAGCTACTGTCCTTTAAAAACTGATTTGTAAAAAAAAAAATTCACAAAATTGTTCTGTAAGCAGTTTTCTCAGGCACTTTCCACTGATTGAAATGAAGAGCTTTCAAATGCTCCAAATGAAGAAAAAGTATTTTTAAAATCTCAAGAAAACCTCTAAAATTTAATGACAATTTTTTCCTTTGAAGTCTTATATTCTCTCCTTAGTGCGTTAAGCATCCTCTATTTAGAGTCAATCAATAACTATTTAAATTTTCTGAATAACATTATTTTTACCTTCAAGAATGACATGTTCTTGTGACAAATATAAAAAAGAATATTTCCCAGATACAGGCATAGAGCACTAAAAGATTAAAATTCTCATTCATAATAGACATTCATTTTATAATATAAAAGTTTCTATGTAGCATGATCTAAAATTACTATTTCAAAAAATAGTTACTTTATATGAATTAGGAAAATTAGGAAGCCATTTATTTTTAATGCCTATACTCTCAGAACTGAGTTGCAATTAGTGATAGTGGCCAGGAGATGGCAGAGCCTCATTTCCTATGATTTGCTTCATTGGCCTTGGTGTAATTCCCAATGTTCACTTTAAAGAAAAATGTTTTGCTAATGACTTTCTTATCACAGATGACAGACATGATGAAAAATAAGACATTAAGAAAAAATAAAGAATTTAAATTCCTCAAAAGTTTTACTTACTACTAATCATTTATATGTGAATAAAATATTTTTAAATACTCTGAATAACTTTTTTCTCTCCAATGTACAAAGAACAGAATGAAAAAAGTTTAAAACAATAATTATTTAGAAGTACCTCAGCTTTTCAATTCTTCCTTTTGGTTAATTTTATATAATGCTGGATTGTTTTATACTTACACACGTATTTTACAACTATGAATTCCACTTTTCAATAAAATAAAAATACATATAGCTTTAAAATAGAAATTTTACAATGTATATTTTAGGGAGAAAATTCACTAGTTTGGAATAAAAATATTTCTTGAAATGGCTTTATCCAAGGCACATACAATGTTTAAATGCTTCTTTTTTTGTTTGGGGTTTTTTTTTTCACTTAATAAATGCTAAAGAAATCTTTACATCTCAAGTTTATTAGATTGCTTGTAAAAAAACAAAATAGCATCCTTAAGGCTTGACAGTCTGCTCACATACATAGTGAACACATTAACAGATATAGGTGTGGGTGTAGGTGTGGGGGTTATATTGCATGCCTTCTAGATAGACTCCAGAAAGGGAGAATAGGCAGAAGCATTATAGATTGTCTTGATTCAGCCTGGAATACAGCCTGCTACTAGTGGCAGAGTCTTTACTAGGAAGATAGGAAGAATCCCTAATCATCCCTGAAAAGGCATAATCCAAAGCTGGGTGAAGAGGCAGTGCTGGTACCAACCCAGGAGTTAGGTAGGGAGACATGAAACCAGATAGCCCTCTTGCTGGAGAAGAATATGCAAGCCTCAGTGGACTGATGCCTAGTCTAGGACTTAAACTGTAGAGACTTGAGTCACCTCCATAAGCAGCAGAAGTGGTGTGAAGAGGAGCGAAAGCTGATTTATTTCCTAGAGTTCCAAAACCAATCCCAGCTAAACTAAAATTTGAAACTCTCTGGAAAGCTGTATTTCCCAATTCTGCTGAGCTTGCTAGGGTCCTGGTGTCTGGTTGGTGTTCTTTCCCATTTAGGACCTGTTCAATAGCTTGAACCACATCCCCTTTGCAGAACTGCAGAATGCCTTCTAGCCGGCTGGGCCTATCACTTGGGAAAATCTTGGTAAGGATATCAAGAGGGTCCCTTGGTCTTGAGGACACAGTGGGAAGTCTGGATCTGGTAGCAGTGAAGTTTTTGGCCCACTCACTTTCATTTCCTGATTCCAGGTCAGAGGATGAAAGAGACCTGGGACTCTCTTCACCTCCTGATTGCTCCCCATGGTGAGGATTCGGAAAGCTATTGTTCTTGTTTGAGTTTTCTGAACTAGATGATGTAACATTTTGTTTTCCGATGACACCAATAGCCTTTGGAGATGATTCCAGGGTAAGCTGATGAGATTTGAAGACCTCTTTTTGTCCACTCTGGCACGAGTCACATCTACTCTCTTTTTGTTCTGGGGAAAAAGAGAAAAAAAAAGGAATCAAACAAAGGGAAAAACCTCCCAGAATATAGTGCTGCACACTCAAAAATAATGATGGATAAAATAATTCATTCCCTTATATATTTACAATATTTATTTGCTGTAAGAAATTTTAATGACTAAGAATTCAAGGGATCATTTGGAAATGCCAGTGTTGTAATAGTGGGAAATGCTATTTATTATGCCATTTAAAGATAACAAAATTATATGATATATAAATGCAGTAGTTATTTAGAAATCAGAAATGAGAATCTATTGTTACCCCCAAACTGTTAATGTAGCACTAATATTTCACACTGTCCCATCTTGGCAATTTGAGGTTTTCATATGTTACCCAAGTTTTGTTTTTACCTAATGAGTCTTTTTTTCACAATGTCATCATGCAAAAAGAACTATATAAAATAATATGTTTAGATAAGAAATCACCCTGGCTGGTGTGGCTCAGCGGATTGAGCACTGGCCTGTGAACCAAAGGGCTGCCAGTTTGATTCCCAACATAGGGCACATGCCTGGGTTGCAGGCCAGGTCCCCAGCAGGGGGTGCACGAAATACAACCACACATTGATGTTTCTCTCTCTCTCTCCTCCCTTCTCCTCAATAAATAAATAAATAAATAAACAAACAAATAAAATCTTTTAAAAAAGAAATCAAAAGAAACAATCATATGAAAATAAATATTGTACTTAATCTCTAATTCTAAATTTGTATAACTTTTTTTAATGCTCGCATTTCAGATTCCAATTAAGTTATCTGAATAATGTGGGAAAATAACAAAATTGTTTACTTCATTTAAAATCTAAACAAATAATGACTTCTGCTCTACCAATCTCAAGTCATACCAGTCTCATATTACATTTTAGGTGGAAGATGATACAGAGTTAGTATTTTTTATAATCCTCTGTGAAACATGGACTTTCTTTTTCAATCCCTAGGAAAATAACAAGAAAAGAAGTTACAGTCAAATTGTATCTAAAAGAAAATTAGAAACTGCACTATTGCACTGTTGCAATCTGTTGGATCTTCAAGGTGTGGTAAAAACAACACACTAGGCATTTGCTTCAAATCACAGCTGCCTTCAATATTAAGGGAAAATATTTTACACAACAACCTGATTTTCTTCCTTAACATGTTGAGTATATGAATATTAATAAAACAAGAATATCTTTAGGAAAATAACTGTGCATATAATCACTAAATAGCTTTTATTTTGGTTTATCCTACAGACATGTTTATCTTCTGTTTCCATTTAAAAAGAGAAAATTGTCAAGTTGCGTACTTAGACTATTTCAGTCCAACTTTCTTCTACAAAGTTTATGAATGCAACAAAACAAATATTGCCTAAAGCAGTGATTTCAACCACAATTTGCAAAACTCCTTCCTGTTTTTTCAAGTACAGGTCTTAAATTCTAGAGAAATATCTGCAGTTTATTTTAAATTTAAAGTAAGTGTAAAATTTAACACTTTGATCATTAAAATGTCATTATAACAAACATGTAACAAAAGATCTTGCTCCCTCAAAATTAGAAAGATTCTTTAGCATTTTCAGTTTCAAATAAAACAATAAAATTCTTCTGATGAGGCCTGCCAGGTCGAGATAGATTGGCACAGGCCTGCCATTCTTTTTTTATTTACAAGGATGATTCATTAAATATAACGTCCTGAGCATGTGGCATATCAAAATTTTATCTCTAAAGCAATTTATGTATATTTTTTGTCATTCCATTGAACTCATGGAGTATATTATAATGCAATGAAATACTGACTGCATAAGACTAGAAAATAAGGTGTCTCTAAAATACTGTGATATCATTTATCATCTCTCTGTTCTCTCAACTCTTATAGCTCATTTTACTTCTTCACTTGATCATTGTATATTACATCTTGTAGTTTTTGAATATGTACACTTTTCCTCATTTTGACTCCAAGTTTGTTTTGTGTAGGAAAATCTTATTCACCTCTGAATTACTGTTAGTCTTTGTCTCATAAATGAGTAAATTAAACAGAATTCCTCCCTATAGATATTGCATAAGAGGAAGCAGTCAGTTCAGAGAAGCCATGATACTAGTCTTTCAAAATGGGGGTGTCAACTGAGGCAAAGAATAAATAAAATAATTGACCCTATGAAACAGAACACTTCAGTACCCCTCTAAGAAAAATATATAAATCAGGGTTGTCAGCCAAATCTCACTGTCAATGTAGTTTACAGAATTTTAACTTTTACTTCTCTTTTATAGTAGCTTTGTTTAGTAACTTTGCTCTTCAGCCCTCTTTGATTTTTAATGAGAAATGTTTAAAGTCTATTTTGTCTCCTGAAATAAACTAGAACATGGACCAAAAAATTGGCACAGGTGAAAAGTTATATATGCCTTACTTAAATAGAGACAGTCTTTTTACAAAAGTATATCCTGTCATCTAAGATCTGCAATTTTCACAACTCAGGGGTGTTTTCTAATTAAAAACTTAATGTATCATTATCATATAATCTCATGTGACACAACCTATCTTGGATTTATACAAAAATACTGAAATAACATTTCACTGCTAGTGGGTCCTGTGGGGGCTATGACATTCACTCAAATACAGTGGGGTTTTCATTAGCAGGAAAAGTTTATTTGGGAAAACCCTGGTCAAATATACATTTATCAACCACAAATAACAGTACATGAAAGTGATTTATGATTGGTAAGAGAAAATAATTAAAACTCATTGAATAAGAAATCCCTAATATTGGGCTTTGAAATTCTTATCAATGTTTTTCAAATCTGGAAAATTTAATTTTTTCCCCCTATGGGAGGAGTTGAAACTTCAAATTATGAGCATGTAACATTTTAAGAGGCTGACAAAGGGAATTAGGGGTGGAATGCTTAAAGTTTTCAAGAATATTGGATGAAAACGCGGTTTGGTAGATTTCAGCCTCTTACCTACTTCTAGATGGCTCTAAAAATTCGACCCAAAGGTAAAGAACTGTAATCTCAACTATCAGCGAGTTCCCCACAGAAAATCAGAAAATTAACTGATTTTATAGCTGAAAACAGTACAGAGCAAGCTCAGATTGCAGCACCTCTCACTAAGATTTTCATCAATGCCCGCTGGAAGTTCGGCTCTCCCAGTCATAAAAACTTGGGCGCAAACTCTATTCTTGGCATGAGCTGCTCATCTGATTACTCACCCTTCACTTTTTCATTATCTTATCCTATCACCTAAAGGAACAGAAAGCTTTTCCAAAGTGAATGTGATGGGTTTCAACCTCCCCCTTTAACGTCCTTTTGCAGAAACCACCTTCATTAACGTCATACTCCAGAGCCGTTTCCCACAACTTAAACAAGGGCTTCTCCTAAATGCCTTCTATTCGCTCGCCTGCAGGGCACAGCTGCTTGTTTCAAAAAAGTTTTTCTCCAAAGCAATTTTTTTTTTTTTTTTTTTTTTGCAAAGAGGAAATGAAAGACCAACTCACCTTGCTTTTCCTCCGTATAATCTAGCCGGAAAACCTCGAAAGCAGGGGTCGCCAGACCACTACCCTGTTTCAAGGCATCAAGACCCAGCGCAGTCACCTTCGCAGGGTCGCTCGCCGCCTGGGAATTCTCAGCTCTGCTGCTGCCTCCAGAGGTCCGAACCCCGGGCCCCGAGTGTCCGGAGTACAGGAACCTCTGCAGCCCCCGGGCCTCACTCTCCTCCTGGGCCTGCTGCCTGCGCAGCGCCACCTGGGCGGCCATGACGCGCTGGCGCTCGGCGATCAGGGTGCACTTGGCACAGGCGCAGTCACGCCAGCGGCAGAAGCGCTTGTGGCCCTTGAGCGCCGACACGACGCCGTGGTTCCGACAACGGGCGCACTTGGGAGTCCGCGGGTAGCCGCAGCTCACCGTGCCCACCCTTCTCTCCAGCGCGGGAGCCGCCGGGCAGCCTCCTCTTCCCGCGGTGGGGGCGGCGGCAGCCGCGGCTGCCCGTAGAAAGAGGCTGGGAGGCCGCAGGAAAGTTGGAGGAAGCGGTATACCCGGGGGTACTGGCAACGCCGGTGAGGAAGGTGGAGGGGCTGCTGCCACCAGTCCCAGGGCCAGGTGGGGTCGACCGCTGCCGCTGCGGCCTCTGCCACCGCAATGAGACTGTTCCATTCCCGAGAAGTGTCTGACGACGGTACCAACTGGAAAGTGTGCTGTTCACAGCTAACCCTGCCGGGATGCGCGGGGCCAGCTGGACTGGCCGTGGTCCCGCTGCTTCCCACTCACACGCGGGCAAAGTTTGACACAATTGCCTCAGAGAGTTGGGGACCACCGATTCCCGCAGCTGAAGACTCAGGGGTGCAGATACTCTGTGAGCTTCTCAGAGTCCCGGGGCGCTAAGTTAACGCACCCGAGCTCCGCGAGCCTTCGGAGCCAGAAGGAAGCCTGGAGACGCTACCCCGCCCACCGGGTCCCCTGGCCAAGCCTTGCGGCCTGGGAGCGGGAGGGCAGGGGCGGAGAATGGGGACCGTCTGGGAGGAGGGGCAGCGGGAGACCCGAGAAACCGTCCTGATGGGCTGCCAATCTCCCTTCCCCCAAGAAGCCTTTTTCTACCACTTGCTTCCTCACGAATTCCTCAACGTTTATTTCTGTAAAATAATCTCCAAGGCTTCTCTCATACCTCTTCCTGCCCTTCCTAAATTAAGCAGTATTTTAAATTCTCCCTTCCCTAGTCCCGCGCTTCCAAGCAAGTCTGAAGGTGTGGGTTTGGAGTTGTCCGTTTCTTTCCTTCTCCCAGATGACGTCTTCAAGAGGGTCGCATGGTCAGTGTTAATGAAAAAGCACAGCTTGACAGGATGCAAATGTTACCCAACTGAAAGATGCTTTATTTTAAATGGATTTTAGGGCTGTGTCAAAACCATGGATAAAAAATTAAGCAAATTAATTCACATTCAGATTCTTCTAGTTTATTTACAGATGCACATTTGGATTCTACGTATAAATTTTGAAATGCTACCTCCTAAAGAAGGCTTTATGAATTTATCGGGAACCATTTATCAACAATTGTGTTAAAGCTGTTTCGAAAATACTCCACATTTCTGTTGTAAACTATTGGGGAAGGTCGTTTAGACCATTCTTCAAATATGCTGTGATAAAATGCATTCTTGAAATATGCATTTAATGCCTTTAATTTTAAGAAAAGATCAGGTTGCTTTAAACCAAAAGAGCATTTGAGGCAGAAAATTCATGGGTGTTTTTAATGGAGAGTCAGGGTGTTGTCATTCTTCAAGATAGCGGCCTTGACAGACAATTCATATTCTTGCCTGAGAAGGAAAGTAATAGTGACATTTCTTACCATTCCACCTATTGATAGCCCGTGTCTAGGGAAGATACTGCTCATCCATCTGGGCTTTCCCCTGCCTTCCCACTTGGCGCCATCGCTACCATCACCACCCTCCCATATGCACGCTGCGATATCCTGCCATGGAGGTTTTCTACCCTTCCTAAGCATGGGAACTCACTAGGGAACTTTTAAAAGATAGAGACACTCCAATACAAATATTCTGATTCTTGCGGTCTAAGTGTTTTAAACTCTCAAGGTGATGTTATACACAACCAAGGTTTAGAACTACCACTCTAGGAATTCCTAACTTAGGCAAATTCTGTAATACCCAAACTTTCTCACACCTCTGTATCCTTGCTTAAGCCACTCCTACCTAAAAGCTGGTTATTTCCTAACTGTGGAACTCACATCCAAAATATGAGAAATGAGTTTTTAAGGCTACATGGATCATTAAAATGCAATGTATTAACAATTCCCTATGTCTATTATTCTTAAAACCTGATTACAAAAAGGAAAATGTGCGGCTTGGTTTAAGTATGCTTTAAGAATTTTTAAAGACTTGTTAGTTATGCTTTTTAACAAGAAAAAAAATTTAAAAGAGACTCAACAAGTAACACTACTTACCTGAAATTTAACATTTTTTGTTTATATTTGATTATAAAAGTTACTTTTCAATTATGGCAAGTGATATTAATTTTCATGGAAAGAAGTGAAAATAATTTTAAGTAAATTATTTAAATAAAATATGTCTATTTAAATAAAAATGATCAAATATGAGAAAAATTGAAAGCTAATAAACTTTGCTGATAAAAAAATAAAAATCTAAGTAAATAAAGAGATATATTGCGTTCATGGTCAGAAGACTCAACATTGTTAAAATCACAGTTCTACCTAAATTGATATGTAAATCAGTATGTAAATATGAGATTACTCAGTCAAAATTCCAGCAGACCATTTTGATATAAAATGTCAAACCCATTCTAAAATTCATGCGGAAATGCAAAAGAAAGGCCTAGAACAGCCAAAACAACTTTGAAAAAGGATAAAGTTGCAAGGCTAAGAGTATATTATTTTGTGAGTTATTACAAAGTTACAGTAATAAAAGTGGTGAAGTATTGGTGAAAAGAGAGAAAAATCAACCAATGTGACAAAATGTAGAGTTTAAATATAGACAACCAATTTTAGACAAAGGTGCAAAAACAAAAATATAACCAAAATGTCCAACCTGTGACCTGTGGGACACATGCAGCTCAGGATGGCTATGAATGCAGCCCAACACAAAATGGTAAATTTACTTAACGCATTATGAGCTTTTTGTGATTACATGTTGAAATGTATTTAATGCGTGGTCCAAGACAATTCTTTATCTTCCAGTTTGTCCCAGAGATGCCAAAAGGTTGGACACCCCTGTTAGAGGGATAGTCATAGGTGGGCAGGAAGGATTACAAAAGATCACAGAGGATCAAAAGAAAAGCTTTTAGAAGATGATGAATACATTAATTATTTAAATTGTGGTAATGATTTTACCTATATATATGTCAAAATTTATCAAACTGTATCCATTAAATATGTGCAGATTATTGCCTGTCAATTATACTCTTATGAAGCTGTTATAAAACTAAAACCTCTTGTTATCTCTGGAAAAAAGAAAAGGAATTATATTCTGGAGGGTGGGCCCCCTGTAGTACAGGCTTGCCCAGTGATGGGTCTAGAGACCCATGAGTATCTGTGCACCAGCGGGTGTTATGGGAGGCTGTGCTGGCCTTCAGGGAATTTTTCTAAAGACTCTTTCAATGTGTTTGCCCATTTCATCATGGGCGCACCTGTCCACAGGGCACTGAGTGTTCAGCAGTTTTTGACCAAAAACGGCATGAGCGCTGTACCCCATCCTCCCTAATCACCTGCTCTCACCCCAAGTGACATTTTTTTGTTTCCTCAGATGAAAACAAGTCATCAAAGGGAAACATTTTGCTGATTTGGAAGAGGTGAAACAAAAAATGGCAGAAACACTAAAAGGCATCAAAATCGGTAAGTTCAAAAACTGTTCTGAGCAATGGGAAAAAAGTCTCTATAGGTGTATTGAATCAAATAAAGAGTACTTTGAAGGTAACTGAAGTTTAAGCATGTAAGAATAAATACACAATTTGTATTATAATTGCTTTTAAACAGATGGAGGTCACTTATTTTAAACTTGTATTTTGATATAATTTCTGTGTTTTATTGTTCAAATACATTTCTCTCTATTTTCCCGCCACCACTTTCCCCTGCCCCTCTCCCCCACCTCCCACCCTCAGTCCTTCCCCACTTTGGCTTTGTCCATGGGTCCTTTATACATGTTTCTTGATTTGACCCTTCCCCTTCTAAATTCACAATTTTTATAAATAAATTCTGGAGTGTTTTGGGTCCCCCCTCATAGACCAAAATGAAAACATTTTGGGCAAAGATGATCCTAATCTAAGCACTCAAAGCTGGAGAAATGATTCTGAACACAAGTATCTCTTCTCAAATATACTAGAAAACCTGAACATGTTCTCTTCTCATAATAATACATGTTGTCTTTTACTCAAATTCTAAGTACTTTTTTCCTCCTCTCACGCCATCTCACAGCAAGTGAGCACTGTGACTGTTCTTATAAGTCACTAAGAAAATGTTAACAGCTGCAGTTTAGCGGTGGCAACAGTTTCATCTAATGAAAAAGTGATGAGAAAAAAGAAACATGTTTTTAAACAGTGTGCAAGTATCACAAATATGCCATTTAGAAATTCATTCTAAGTTTTGAAAAAAGACTTGTCTGATTAATGAGAAATGTAGAAGCAATCAGAAGGCAAGAAAGGCATTAAATATAATTTCTTCGAAGCTCAAAAACACCTATGCACCTCCTTTTTATTAGTTATGGTCACTTCTGCCTGTTACCCACCCTAAACTCTTATAGTCAACTGCCATTTTTTGTTGGTTGGTACCAACCACTAAACATAAAGGAGTAGTCATGTGAAGCAGCAATCATAAATATAGACTTCTCTGATCATAACTACGCTATTAGATTTTGGGCAAAACATTTATCCTCTCAACTTCACTTTTCCCATTGGCAAATGAAAGCATTAAATTATCTCCAAGGATAATCCCAAGATTGTAGACTATTTCTTTTGCCAAGTCTAGTCTGAAGGTATTTTCATTAATGTTCTCAATCTCTAAAGAACCTCATTACTACTCCCACTAAGGCCCCAGTCAAAGCACCTCTCCTGCTGATGGAATAACCTGGGCTATCTTGCTGGTAAAGTTAAAGGGTTTGTATGTAGCTTGGCTGGAAGGTTTTGGCAAGAAGACTGGGGATTTGGAAGGGAAGGCTCTAAATTGCCTATTCATTCATGCATAAACATAACACAGTTCACTCCATGGCTTGAGACTATATGTGAGCACACTGATTATAGTCCATCTACCCCAGGGCTTCCCAGAGCCCTAATATATTTGCTAATGTCATGTTTTGTCAGTTCTGAGGGGAAAGTTTGAACTGCAGTTCTATTTCTCCGGGGGTCTTCAAAAGGCACTGATATCATCATGGTTGAGAGACCACAATCTGCAGAGCAACATAAATTTCAACCCTCGGACTGTGTCTCATCCAATGGCTAGTCACCCCCAAGTCTGGGAAGAGACAAGGCTCCTCGGGGACATAGCCTTTCCTGGAGTATTGTTGGGGAAGGACAGGCCTGTTTGGTCATACATATTATTGGCTGATAAATGTCACTCTACCAAAACCAATATTCTTCAGAATACCCTGTCACTGGGGAGAGAGAATTCATTATGCCAGATCTCTAGTTAACCACAGCATGTG